CATTGGGAGCAGAATATGAAGTCTATAGATGATCGATAAAGCTCTTAAAAAGAAATTATTGAAAGATTATTAATGAAATCTTCATCGATGATTTCAAAAATAAAAAGGACATACTGGAAAAAAAGAAAAAAGAGAAAAACAAAGAAGAAGAAGAAGAAGAGTATCCCTAATGCAAGTTATGAGTCGATATAGGAGTTGAAATATAGACAAACAAACAATGAGAGTTGATGCTAAAAAATGAGGTCAACAATCAAAATGACAAAGTCAAAGCAAGCAAGCCTAAAAAATTCTCTTGAACATCAAGATGAGATAAAAACCTAGACCAACGGTTAGAGGGACAAAGTTCAAGCGACATTGCCTAAAGAGATCTCATTGGATAACAAAGTGATTATACGTCTTTATACCCTTAAATGCTTTTTAAGCCTTTATACATTCATTCTTTCATGAGCTCAAATCGTAGCCTACATTATGTGCTTCGTAAGCCCTTTTTTTTTTTTATCTAAGATAGTTTTATTCATGCTCGGTGAATTTTAATCTTAGAAGAAAAAATAGTTAAAAGGAAAAAAGAAAGAAAGAAAGAAAATAGCAACATGACTGATTTGTGTGTTATTTTTCATCCTTTATGATATCAAATCATAAGTTTTTATCAAATAATTTGAGGACGTTAATAAACGAATTAAGATACTTCAAGGCAAGACTATCCTTCAAAAGCCAATTTCTTTTAAAAATACCTTATGTTCAAACCTTTTAATTCTCTAAAGTGAACTTATCTTTTGACAATTTTTCCTTTAATAACCTCAAAAGCCAGCTTTTCTAGAAATCTTGTATGACTTAAACACATTTTTCCAACTAGCCTAAGAAAATAATCACCTTATGAAATTACATCATAGTATTTGAATCTCATGTTTTGGCTCTTGACCAATCAATTTGAACATATTCATGAATGAAAGTACTTTCATTAAAACATCTCTATAATTCTTTCAAATAATCGAATTGTTTTAAGAAAACTATTCAAGTTCATGATTTAATCTAAAAAATAAATATTTATTCAATGGTTTTTTTAAAACACAACAAGAATTTCAAGACTAATCTACAAATTGAGGAACAAGCCTCAAAAGATGGAAGTTGAGCATAAGCAATGATTGTGCAAATAGAGCGATAAATATATTATATCACCCGAGTACTTGGAAACATGTCATGATCCATTCCGAATGATAATCCATAAAATTGAGAAAACTTGGGGGCATATCCAATAATCTTACAACTCGAATTAAGTCCAATAACTTGTTAAACAATAATCTTGGACCAATTAAAATCCAAACATAACATCATCAAGCTAGCTAGAGGAATGAGGGCTTGAACAACAAGCATATAAACATTAATCCCCAAGTAGCCGAAGCAATCAATATAGGAGATAAAAAAAAAAAAAAAAGAAAAGCAATCTTGAGATAAAATAGGCAACTCAATGAGAGTCCGACAAGCAATCAAAACAAATAATAATAATAATAAAAGATGGAGGATTTTAATTCGGGGCTTTGGATTTTCAAATTGATTTTGAGTACTTTTTGTTTTATCATATCAGATTTTGTAGAAATTTTTTTATATTGGTTGCTAGTGTTTTTTTTTTTTTTTATAAATCAAGGTTATAAGCCTTCAAATTTGAATTTGGGTACTATTTGTTTTATCTATATCAAATTTTGTAAAAGATTTATGGGGATTGGTTGTTAATTTATCTTGTATAAATTCAACACTATCAATGAAGAAGAAAAAAGGAAGGACAAGTTCGGTCTCCTAAATAAAATCTTGTGTGCCATTTCGAGAATCTACAACCATGTTTCAAAAAGGCAAGAAAAAATATAACAGGTCATGAGGTTTCATTTTGCTCATCCAGCTTCACCATTTAAAACTTTGTCTCTTTCCAGATAGGTCCTCTTCCACTTCCCTGTTGCTTTTTTTTTTTTTTTTTTGCAATATACGTGTATAGCTAGTGTTTCCGATTTAATTCATAATGCTTTTTTTAGTTGATATCAATTTTTGTTTTTCGACAAGCATGAGCTTGATGTATATGAGAGATAAGAAAAGGATGGATAAGTAAAAAAATTGCAGGTTTAGCATTTTACAAGTTTTGAAAATAAAAAAGAATGACATAATAGTAATGAGGTAATTAAAAAAAAAGGAAAAAATAAACCAAAGACTATGGGAAATGACAATAAAGAGGAAAGAGAGAGAGAGAGAGAGAAAAGGTAGCAGAAAGCGGGAGGAAAAAGAGAAAAAAAGAGAGAAGAGATGGGGAAAGGAAAATGGCAGTAGCAAGAATGGCATAGGAGAGAGTAAAAAAAAAAAAGATCAAAGAAAAGATTTGGTTTTTGATTAGGAAACCAAGTCTAAAAGAGAAAAGAAGAGAAGATACGCAGAGAGGATTTCTAGTTTGATTTTGAGTCTAGTTTAGAGCCTCAGTCCTTAGTTTTATCAGGGTTTTTTGATTTAGTATCTAATAATAAATGTTGCAAGTGCGTCCTTAACTTTAAAATAGATGTGGAGTTAAATTGGCAAAATTTAAATTCTAAAGATTAGTTTTGGGGTTTTACTTACTTGATAAGGTTTCACTTATCATTCTAGTCTGAAATTTTTATGGGTTATAAATACATTGATTCTTAGCTTCCATTTAAAATTTTTCAATTTTAGAGTTTATTTGATATCTATTTACATTTTTTTTCTTTTCTGCTATCAAATTATTTATCGATAAGGAGCTGTTTTGGAAATTAAATTATTTGGACCCACTCCTGATTTAATTTTAGTATGAAAATTGTAGGAGATGTATATATGTATGTTAATGAGTCCCTACAAAAATTTCATCTTATTTGGACTCCATTTGATATTTATTTCGATATTTTTCTTTTATGCCATGTTATGAGTATTTTAACAATTGAATTGAGTTTTATCTTGTTGATATGGATCATCGAGTCTCCTAGAGTCTAGGTTCCAACGATGATCTCATATCAAGTTTAATATCCAATGATAAAAGAAAAAAAAATCTCATCTTAGGCAAATTAGGGAAGTCAAGTCAAGTTAACGAGTCTTCCATTTTAAATAGGGATCAATGTCGGTCCGAACACCTTATTTAAAAAAAAAATTGAAAAGAATATAAAGGAAGAGAATTAAATAGAATAAATACAAGTCAATTTAAAACCATTAGTTAATTACGTCGTTTCTCGACATGCCAATCATATCGAACATAATTAGATCCGATGGTTTTTGGTCTAACGTCAATTTAATATGATTCTACAATTAAAAAAACAAAAATTAATTGGGCCTAGATTACAAACAAGCTTGGAAATAGACTTAGAAAATAATCTAGCAAACATAATTTTTAGGAGATACTTTTAGGATTAGACTAAACCCGATATCTTTTTTTTTTTAAAAACGTGTCCCTTTGGTTGATTGTTATATTTCTAAAAACATAACCAACTCCTCATCCAAAATCTCTAAATCCAAGTACCTTTCTTTAAGTTTCTTAATACCCTTCAATATTAGGTGGCGATTCTAAATCCTTTTTAATTTTTTTTCCTTCACCAAAAATTTAGAATTCTCATACATATGGGTAGCGACAATTTGGATTCTAAATGAGAAAGTTATCAACCAAGTTAAGCCTTAAAGTAATCAACTTATTTTTGTTGTATAATAATATGTTTGATTTTTCTTATAATTGATCGAATAAAATCTCAATCTAAAAATTATAAAAGAAATATAAATTTGGAAATATTCATAATAACTAATAATATTATTTCATTTATCGAGTTTGAAGAGAGAGACAAACATAAAGAATAAACAAAAAAAATCAAATTTCGACCCACTAAAAATTATAAGAATATTTTTGCATATACTCAATTTTATTTTTTATTTTTAAAATTTTTCTTTTATTTCTCTCTTTTTTGATCTATCTCTCTTATTGAGTATGTATTGTTAGTGAGTTCATGAGTAATAAAAAATTTCTTATAAAAGAAGATTTTTTTTTTTTTTATAATAGGACGAGATTAATAATTAAAAGAAGTAAATACTTTTGCTGTTGGTTATATAAACCATACTTAAACATTTTAAATGCTACTGTTTCGGTTATATTTTGAGGTGGTGTTTGACTAATAGCTTCACTAATGATGCATGACGAGAGTAACCAATGAGTCGCCTAGATGCGAGCGTGTTTTAGTTATGCAAGTACACTATTAATTTTTAGGTTTATCCCACATTTAATCTTTATACTATTCTGATGAGATCTTTTATTTATTTATTATTATTTTTTTGGTTTGATTGAAATCATTTATTTTCAAAAATTTATTGATTCAAATCTTTTGTATTGTTTTATTGAGATCTTCTATTATTATTATTATTATTATTAATTGAAATCATTTATTTTTAAAATTTTATTTATTCAAATCTTTTGTGAATCATTAATCTGCATGATATGTTAAAATTAATGACAACCAATCACGAATAAATACATGATATAATGGGCCTTAACTCTCACAATTTCTATTCCAAAAATATATATATATATATATATTAAACTAATATTTCGTGCTTAAAAATGAATGAAAAAGACAACATTGTCCCAACTCCACCATCCCAATCCAACTCAATCTTTTTCATTATTAAGCCCTATTTTCATTTTCTCAAACCCATTCTTCTATTCTTTTTAGCTAAAAAATTATAATTTCTAAATCTCAAAAAAATTGAGTAAAAAGAGTAATATTTCTATCTTAAGGATCTTAATTACGAAGTTATAATGACCCAAAAAAACAACAAAAAAGCAAAATTGATAAAGAAAATAATACTCTTCAACACTATATTTCAAGTTTCAATTTTCATTCATCCTCCTGGCTACGCAACCTAGCAAGTTTGTTAGTAACGACAACATCGAGCTGAGCAGCTCACTCCATAATCTCTTGCTTTTTTCTTTTTTTTTTCTAGTTGACACATTATGTGCTATCTCAGCACAGCAAGTCATGCTGTGCATCATCAACACTTCAAGCTTCGACATTGTGGACAACAAATTTCTTGAAGCCGATGGGAAGATAATGGTGAGTCTTCTTGTCAGAACTGAGCCAATATTGGGTATCAGAGTACATCCTTTGAACTTTATTTGGACATGAGAATCAATACCCTTTGGCCTACGCCAGTTTGTATTGACAGAGATCCTGTGGTCATTATGTGGCCTCTTGAACTACTTAACTCTCTTCTTAACAATCTTCTTCATAAGAAACGACACTGCCATTTTCACTTACCTTCAGTGATTTTGCTACCCGCCAAGGTTCTGGATCTGGAGTTAGGTCAAGATTTTGTGTGGATTTCTGATGTTGTTGTTGATGACGATGACGATAAAGAGACTATTATTTGGTGGATTGTAATTCAAAGAGCTTGGCATCGCTATTTCCTTATTTGGCCTCTTAGTTCCATGAAACTTAATTTGCTATCTAAAGCCGTGGTTAGAATCTTGATCTCCACCCGTCTTGCCTTATTACCCATCTAATCCAAAAACACAGACTTGATAAAGAGCTAATGACTTGATAATGCTTGAGTAAGATTATCATCCTTTTCTCTCTTATTTTGATTTTGACGTTAATGGGAGCAAAACTCACCGAGCGATTTCATTAATTTTCAACTCCTATTTCCAAAGACACAGAGATTGATAAACAAGAAGATAAAAGAGACAATAAGAGAGTGACAATGGTAAAATGTTAATAGCATCTCCAATGCTCTCTTTATATTAAGATTTTTCTTTATAATAAAGAGTTTTGATCTAAATTTCATCTCCAATGCTCTCTTTATCACAATCTTTATCTTTAAAATTAGTATAAAGAGTGTCTTTGGCTCTCCAATACTAGAGAGTCTAAATGACTCTTTATCTTATATTTTATTAATGAAAATTACTATTTTCAATGCCACTCAACCTCTTCACCAATAGTCTCTATGAGTTTTATAGATTTTGTCAAAATAAAGAGTTAAATAGAGAGTAGCATTAGAGAGGATATTGATCTTCTATCTATATAATTAATGATACTCTCTATTTACATTAAAAATGCTAGTTAAAAGTAAAGAGTACCATTGGAGATGCTCTAAGAGGGTGGGGGTAGTGTTCTTTTTTCCCACTTAACTTTAAATATTAAATATTAGTGTAGTAATAAAATAAATTTTTGTTTTTTTTTTTGACAAAAAACATAAAACTTAAGATTCATTATGTTACGTGTCCATTCGTAATTGATTATTGTTAATTTTAATATGCTATGTCGGATGAATAGTTAACGAAGTTATAATAAAAGATCCGAGTTAATAAATTTTAAAAAATAAAAAGTTTCAATTAAGTAAAAAAAAAGTTTTAATTAAAAAAATTCAAATAGTATAGAAACAAACGTGGTGTAAACCTATTAATTTTTTGTTAGTCTTTTTGGATATTTTGAGTTCATATAAATACTTTTTTATATATAAAAAAACTATATATATTTTTTTAGTTTGAATAAATATGGTTTTTGCCAATAATTTGTAGCTTGGTTTCTCGTTTTCATCAGAATACAGCTTTGTTTTTTAATAAATAATCCAACAATAAATTCGACTCCTAGCAAAGACCGTTAAACAAAAAGTTCTAAGATATAGTTCATGCACGGCTATTTCGGCACGTGTTATAGATGCATCATTTACGTTGCATAAAAAATAATATTTTATTTATATAAGAAAACAGTGCTATTAATGATTGCATGCATCAAATTAACTTACTAACAATAATGCAGTTCTGTAAAAAAGTATTAAAGATCTCTCGTCTCCTTGCGTGAATAGCCACCACCCCTTTGCAAACTCAAATGCCTGATGGCAGTTAACGACTTCTTCTTTCCTTCGAAAAAACAAACGATAACAAAAACTTATGACCTGCATGGATACTTGTCAGCACGGTTCAATACGGAAAGACTTTGTGGGATATGACAATATATATATATATATATTTTAAATTAGAGACAGAGAGAGAGAGATAGCAATATACATAACAGATATATAATTATCATACATAAGGGTACGATTAAAAATACATTTTGTGATTAAATTTGTAATTAAAAAAGGTCCAACTATAATTTTAAGTCTTATGAGTTAAGAACCTCAAACATTTAACTATACAAAGCTTTAATTAATTTTTTATAATTTATACCTCAAACATTTAACTATACAAAGCTTTAATTAATTTTTTATAATTTATAATTTTTATAAAATATCTATTAATCAATGTTATGAATGATAAGTGATTATATATATTGATATATATTTATTTATAATTTTTCACTAAAAGAAACATGATGTCATTATTTCTAAATTAAACACTTGTTTAGTTTTTCACATGTACCAACATAAAGGATGATCAGTAACACTAACTAAACTAACTAAATCTAAGAAAGATAAAGTTGTGATTGATCCTTTCGTCATCATTTTCAAGATGGATTTAATTTTTAGATATCTAAAGCAAGTATAAATAAGATGATCTCTATTTTGTTTTAATATAATTTAATATATTCTTGTGTTCAATAGATTATATATTATTATTGTTTATGTTGAAGTACAAAGTCTTTCAGGATTAATGTGAATGGATAATTAAACTGTAAACAAAAAAAAAATGATAATTAAGCTATTGCAACTAATTACACATAAAATTCGACTAGTAAATATCTCGTTCAGGGATTAATTAGTTACGTTCAGTTGGAGTTGAATTGTACCAAATACTTCTCCAGCACTCAGTAATAAAAAAATAACTACATATTAAATTAAATTAGCTACCAATGATTGGCCAGGAAACCTCAACGAGACTTAGGATATGCATTCAACCCTGCCATGATGGTCCTTCATACAATCGTCATTTATGCAATATAGGTTAAAGTCAGTGGACGCCAACGTGTTCCTCAGCAGAAATGGTGATGGCCCGGTCCACTTGAAAGCAGCGATAATAGAGTATCAGTGTGAGAGCTAGTCAGTGAACAGAGGCCCTTGAGCGAATAAACGTACCTTAATGTCGAAGAACTAACAAAAGCAAGATGTGACAAACAATTTTCTACTACAAATTCCCTTCCATGTCAAGAAGACCAGGCAAACATAAGAATTCTACTTCATCTTTAATGTAAGACAAAGAACGTACCTAAGCATTTACAGCCATTTTAAATTTCTCGGGAACACGAAGTAAGGGAGTCTGGATTGCTCCAGACTTGCCAAGCTGACCACAAGCAGCCATCTGATCATCACCTCTACTGTATCGCATGAAAACAACGCACTTGGCTTCTGCCAAGATATTTCTAAACTTAATCATATTCTCTTTACTGGTTGGTCTAAACTGGGATCCACAGTAAGGATTAAATTGAATGAGATTGATCTTGCATGGAATGCCTTGAACTAGATCAATAAGCCTCTTTGCATCATCAACACTGAAAACAGACAATTACCAATGGAGTCATTACAATGCAACAAAATAAGATGGATTATTAAATCAAAAGCTATTTTTGAATTAAACTGTATGAAGGCTACACAAAAAGGGTTAAAATACTACCATGGCAACAACAAAGTCCAACTTTTTCCAAGAAAAGTAGACAAGTTCCATTTTCAATTCAATGAGGTCAGTAATTAAGGGTTTACACCAAGATTAATGCTGAACATTAAGAAAAAATAACAACAAAAAGCTCAAAGAATACACATGGGAATTGGGTGCCACTTTAAGATCATATGATCCAATAGTCCACGTGTATTCTTGAAGTTTTTCTTGATGCTTATTCTTTAATGTTTAGCATTTTTGTTACACTATACTGAATTGAAGAAGTTTGAAATGTTGACGGCTTAGCCCACAATGTTTAGCTGAGCAATTTTCCAAGTCCATGATTACTTTATGACAGCCAAACTAACAAAACTAGTCTTTGCTGCCCTGAGTTCTTTTCCAACCTATGCCAGCAAGCAAGGAAGGGATTATTTCTCTTGATATAACCGAGTTATGTTTCCATCTAATTGCACTCTCAACTGGATTACATATATATTAACCAATGAAAGGTATAACGGACCTCCAATTTCCAAAGATGTCAGGTGCACAGCAAAATACCATTGAATTGGGAAATGAATTGCTCTAGTTTCCAAATTCTTTACTTTATGTTTCACATTCAGCTACAGTCCAACCTCTTGGAACTCACATGCTTTGGTTGAATAAGCTTCATTGTACACAGACAGGGTGATTTAGGTTGCCTTTGGCCATAACAATTCATTTTGGACTCTGCTGTAAATAATGGAGTATGTAACACTAATGATTTACAGCAATCTTTTCTCTGGTTACCTCATTAAAAATGATTTTACTCAATAAATGAATTTCTCAACTCTTGGACATATTTCAACATTACTATTGTAAAGAATGTTGAAAAGGCGTTCATTTATAGAAGCTGTATTAGGTTATCTGAGCTAACATAAAATTAGAACACTTTTAGCTAACAAACATTTGCGTTAGCTTATGTGCACACGGTCTGAATATGTTATGCCCTATCCAGTTGGAAGTGACACTGGGCCATTTGACCTGGGCAACACATGGATTTGTCTCTGATACTGTGACACCCTAGCAGCTACCTAGCTAACTACTCGGTGTTTGAAGAGTTCCACTGCCTGACAAGTGCATATGTCCCATCTTTTTTTACCCTTTCATCAAGGGCACACTTGTATATATTTGTTTGTTCATTTTTTGAGATTTACCTGTGTAACTTATTTAGCTAACACAGCTGTGTAGTTACAATTGTTTCTAGTTAATCTTTTGATTATTTTTATTTTTACTGTGACTATTTTGTAAATAAATATATCTGTATTGTTAGTTATCCCCAGTTACTTTTAATAATGCATGCAGAACCCAAGAATTGTGGATTGTCGATAAAATGTTTCTAGGTAAATCATTAGCATATTGACACGGCATTGAGTAAAAAACATATTAAACAAATCATTCTCACCCAAAAATCGAGATAATCCCAGATAGCAATGCACGCAAATAAAGGACCAAATAGTTCTGATCTTTCTTAGTTGTGAGATCATCTAATTGAGGTGTAAATGTCAATTACAGAGATCTAAGATTATGAAAGAATGCTGCATTTGCATGTCATAGGCTGCGCAAAACAATAATGTCCACATGAAACAAAATGCAAAAGAAAAAAGGCCTATCTAACCTGTCATTTACTCCTTCAAGCATCACATACTCAAATAGAACTTTGTAGTTATTCTTTAAGCACAGTTCTTCTCGAAGCATTTGAAGAAGCAACCCTATATTATACTTCCGATTAATCGGCATGATCCAGTTTCTGACCTGCATAATTTATTATGAAAGTGAAGGTCAATCACATGTCACGTCTCTCCAGTACATCAAGATAGAGTGAAATGAAGATACCTCATCAGTTGTAGCATTCAAACTAACAGCTAAAGCGCAGTTGGATTCATGGAGGAAACGTTTCAACTGGGGGACAAGCCCACTGGTAGAAATAGTGACCTTGCGAGGACTGAAGTGAAGGCCCTGGTCGTGCACCATAATGTCTGCAGCTTTAATAACACTGTCAATATTTTGAAGTGGCTCTCCCATTCCCTGCAAGTACACATTTTTATGCCAATAACTAGCAAAACTTTCTTGGCAAGTTTGAAGATTCAAGAGTCTTCTCTTGGAGAAAAAGATTAGTTCAACTTCCGGTCAGCAGTTGTCTTATAATACGAAAGTCGACGGCGATTGTTCCCTCAACAAATCAGCATTTTAAGAACCAGAAGACATACCGAGAGCAGTGGACTACTTTTTAATGTAGTATTTTGATGGAACAGAATCATTTATCATTTAAGTTTAAATTGCTTGGACAATTTATAGAAGTGACATATGGCGTTTTGGTACTTGCTAAACTGACAGATAAAATTACGGCTAGTCTCAGTCATACTTAGATTTGAAGTATTGGGTTTAAGGTGCTTTGCTCTAAGTAGAGCTTAATGATGAGCTTGGGATAAAATCTAGAAACCCTAGAATAAGAAAATACCAACTAAGCTTAAACCTCGAATTCAAAGAATCCGTGATTAACATGCTTGAACAGGATTGTGAATTTAATATCTCTTAAATAAAATGTATCCATCTAGAATGACAATAAAATAGATGAAAGATAGGTCTCCAAGGTTGCTCACTTTCGCTACTAAATTTACAAAAAAAATGACAGTGGTGATGGGAGTCATGAAATAATGTTCTTTTTTCTCTGATAAAGATTCTACATAACACTGATTTGGTAAATCCATAACACTTGATTGATCATAATAACACTAAACTGAGATCTAATTTTGTCAAAACTAAGCAGAAAGGCCTTCACAAACTAAAAGACTCTCTTGATCGTACACTAACCATGAATACCACATTTGTGATGGGACCAACTTCATTTGTGAGGAGACGTCGTGCAAATACAGCCTGCTCTACTATCTCAGCTGTAGACAGATGTCTCTTCAAACCCATTCTGGAAAAACGGATTCATGTAAAACAAAAATGCACCTTATTAGTGACAAGAACATGAATAATTTAAACACAAAGTCTCGATGAGGAAGATATTAGCTTGCCTGCCTGTGAAGCAGAACTGACAATTCATGGCACAACCCACTTGACTCGAAACACAAACCGTCGTCCTACCCCTATGGCAAGGTATAACAACAGTTTCTATTACCAATCCATCATCCAACCTAAATAAAATCTGCAAGTTCCTGTGAGTTTCAAAATCATGAGAAGATTTTCATATAAGTAGTACAACTGCCAAAGCATACATGCAAATTTGAGTTTCAAACCATAAAATAAGGGCATACAAGTGGGATAAAGAGGTACAAAGACAAATAGAAAAGATTCTAACAAAGAGTAAATGGATACAACTGGCAATGATTATGGATACCTTCCTAGTTCCGTCAGATGATGTGAGAATATTTTCCAACGATAATGCTTTGAATTTGGCGTGTTCGCCTAACATTTTCACAAAATCCTTGTTCAAACCTACACAAGGTTAAACAAATATAGAGTTCCTAAGACTCGGCATTTTTCCAAAGCAGGACAAGAAGTTCAACAGTCAACAAACAGAGCTAAACATTGCAAATCATTGACAACCTTAATGTGCTAATTAAGGGTCTGTTTGGTATTGTTGTGTTGTGTTATGCTTTGGCTACTGTGCAGTGTTGTGCTGCACTGTGAGATGAAAGTAGCATTAGTCAAAGCAGTTTTGGTAATTGGCTATTGTGCTTCAAAAAAAAATTGCTTTTTACTTAAATAGTTGACCAGCATAACATGCTTTGCTTTTGGCTAAAAACATGGGGTAGCCTGCTTTGTTTTAAAAGCAAGCAGCTTCCTTTTAAAGTGTCATGCGGTTTGGTTTCCAAAACAAAGCGAACCTTAACCAAACACTGCTTTTAAATCAAATGCATATACAAGCAGTTGTGCTTTTACCAAACAGGCACTGAAAAGTTTAAAAACTAAATAGAATGGGATAGAAGAAGAATGCCTTGTAATTCACCAACATAATGTGCCCATATTCCGTTTCCATACAGGCGCTTCCAAAGCATCATGGCTTGACCAGATCTGAATCCATAAGATCGAACCCATTTCTGTTGGAGCAAATCCCACGATAACAAATAAGAAATCATTGATTTTCAGAAAATCTGTAAGCTTTAACGTTTGCATGCATCTTCCTTTCCTAAAGAAAAGCGAAGCAACTACTGCTGGCTCCTTACCCTCAAAATGTCAAAGAAAATGAAAAGAGGAATACAATAAAGTCAAACTGCTCCAATCACATTAGAGCAATTAGCCATCCATCATAGAATAACATTTTATCGTTAATCCATTAAGTTTTTATTAAGCAACTAAGCACTAGAAAGTCTAAATCAACTAATAAAGAAAATTAAAAGGGAAAAAAAGTGCCTTAACCAACCACAAGAGAAATAAAACAGCACCTGAAATTCACAATCCAGAAAACAAAAAAAAAAAAGAAAGTGAATGAAACGAGTTGAAATGCATACTTCAAGTTCGGTGTATGTCATTCCTTTCAGACTCATCTTTGAGCTTTCCAGTGAAATAGCAGCAGCATTCGTGGCACCGCTTACTACCCTCACCAGAAAAAAAAAAAAAACAATCAGACAAGAGTGAATGTCCCAAAAAATAAAAAAAAAAACCTGAATTTAAATCGAATGATTGCGGAGTTTATACATGCTTACCGACGTCGGTGCAATTGCGAGAATGGAGTGGAGGTGAACAAGCGGGGGTAGTTGAAAAGGACCGACGGTTGGAAGAGAAGAGGTAAATGAGTGGTGGCGGTTGAATTGAAAGAGTAGCAACAAATGAGGAAGCTATGGTAGGATGCTTCACAAGAAGCACAGAGTTGGCTCCCAACAGAAGGCGTCTCGTCCACATACAAGACATCTCCATTTTCACGCCAAATGGAAAGGAAAGGGTTGAAGGATTCAGCAAATATTTTTGGATTAAGATTTTAGGGTTCTTAATTAGAGATGGCAATCGCCCATTGCCAATGGGCAAGCTGCCTATGCCCAGCCCGTAAAGATCATGTCCGTATCCAGCCCATATCCTGTTATCTTTATAAAAAATTACCCAGAATAAAATTACTGAAAAACATGAAATTTTCTTAAGGAATCCACATTGGAGATAGGAATAAAGGACTCAAGACATTGACATTTTCTGTTTTTTGGGTGCAAAAATGACAAAAAAGTAAATAAATTATAATAAAATAAATTCGTTCGAGTATTATGAAATTAAAAAAATCATCTAAAAAATTAAAAATTTAACAAAAACCCTCTTTATTTAAAAATAAATATTGCAGAAACATCTTTTTATACCCAAGTCCATAATCACTTTTTTAAAAAAATAATTAAATTAAGAATTTAAAAAAAATAAAGAAAGAATATATATATATATATATAAAAAAAAGGAAAGTGATTTTTTTAGTATACAACCAATATTACTTTCATTATTAAATTTCATTCAATTTTTAAAAAAATTTCTTTTTAATATTCTTTCTCTATTTTTAAAATTTTTTTAATTTAACTAGTGTTTTTCCTAAATAATAATTAAAGACATTTCACGTATAATAAGAAATTTATGTCAAATTTTCAAAATTTTCATATTTTCATTAAATTCATGATACCTCGAAAAATTATTGTTAAAAAAAAAAAAATAGCAACTGCCTGGAGCAAAAAGCTTTAAACCAGGAGCCAGGAGGACACATAAATATCACCATCATGCCATACGTGATCTAAATCTATTGAGGAGGTCGGGAGAAAAGATTTATACTGTTGGCATATAGCATTGCAATCTTTCATCTATTAGAATTTCATTTTCCGCTAAGTTGAGCGAACCTAATTCAATTGACTGACAGAAGGCATGAGAAAAAATAAGTAAAACTTTAATGCAATCCCAAAGTTATGACTCTATTATCAATTAAATTTCAAATCTCTTAATTTTATAAATTGTTTTCCAAACATAATCAATATAAGCAATGCCAATTACGGTTAGCAATTAATAAAAGATTCTAGATAATTTGCACATGAACTCTTGATGTTTTTTTATTCCTCTAAAAAAAAAGCTTTGAACCATGTCCCGATAAGGTCTAATATACAACTTTAGCATCAAAATATCAATAAATAAAAACGTAATGCGTCAAAATGCAAAAATTTCATCCATTTTGAACACAGTAATCAAAATAAAATTGTACAGGAGGTTTTAGGGCGTTACTTCGACACCTCATTAACAGGAATTAGTAAGAATGAATGAGTATGTTCAAAACGTTTAAATTTGATTAAAAAAAAATCCTTATAATGAATTGATAGAAGAATAATTAAAAAAAAAACCACAAAACTAAAACAGGTGGTGGATTTCTTGTTTATTCATCCTCTTCTATTTAACTGTGGATTGTTACTGTAGTGCACTATTCTCCTTTCTTTCAACCATCCGTTTCTTGTAGTCTCTCTCTGGCTCTCTGTTTCTAGTTCATTTCCATCCATTATTCCACCTTCTTTCATTTGTTTATGTTGCCATTCAGTTTGTGCCCTCCAGTTATTAGTTTAATTACTTGAATGTCATTTGTCCTCTTATTAGCTTGCATTTCTACCCTATTTTGCCTGGTCTCTCTTGTATTGCTTTTTTCGGTGTTATCAATAGTTTTCTCCTTTTCCTAAGAGCCTTTAATGCTTTGTCTTGGGGTTTACTTCTTTTAGATGGTAATTTCCTTTCTGCCACAAAAAGAGGATACTCTTTCGACAATTCTTCTTTCTAACATCTCTTTGGCTTTGTAACCCAAGCCTACCTTTTCACATCCTTATCTTCCTTATCCTTCCCCAGCAAGCACCACCTATTCAATTTTCACTCAATCCTTATGTCTTTTCCTCTTTCAATTCTCTTTTCTCGCTCTCCGCCTCTAATTATCATCTTCTAAACTTGCAACAGCCCAACATTGACCATCAGTCGCCCATCACCACCACTACCTATCGTACCATACTTTGCTCCATAACCAGGCCAAATACCAGCTCCCTCACAGCCACCAATCCATTTCCTTGCTACCTCACCTCCCAACGATAGTCCCCTTAACCATTGATCACCATCTAAAACCAACAGCCAACATGCCGTTACCTTTTACCACCAGTAGCTACCTCTCTAGTACCCTCTATCGTTGTCAAGACGCCACCATCATCTCCCTCACCCAAACCTGTAACCCGCTACAATTCTCCCAAAACTCTGCACCCACCACCAATCTCCACACCTTGAAACCACTTAAAGTTCTTGGGTTGATCTCTACATTTTTTTTGTTTTCATGATTTTAAACTTGGGTTGTGTGGAGTTCGTGATTAGCAAAAAAATGGTTACACTTTATTGAAGATGTTACATTACACGTAATGCTGGTTAGGTGCAAAAAAGGGTTCTTACTAAAATCCTCTTTAGGAATGCAAATGTAATAACAACGACCTAAAATCCTTCTTAAATATAAATATATTGTAAAGATATTTTATTTAATTAATAAAAGTATGTTTATTAAATGTGATGAATAAAAGTTGAAAATTTAATTAAAAATTAAATAAAAAAAGTATAATTAAAAGGGAAGGGTAATAGAATGAGTAAGGCTTGAATTAAAGATTAGTACCCTTATTTGATATGATTATATTTTAACCTAGGGACACAATTGTAAAATCTAGGAGCATAATCATAACAATTAAAAGTTTAGATACTTGACTAAAATGATGGAGCAACTTTGGAGACTTAAATTATCTTTGAAAAAGGTCTAGGATGAGGGCCAAATTGAGAAAAATTATGAAGTTACGGACTGAAATTAGAGGGCCTAATTACAAAGATTAAAAGTTTAAGTAGTAAAGTGTAAAGTGGTGAAAATTTGAGGGACCTATTAAATTGATTTTAAGGGACAATTTTTAGCTAGAGAATTTTGGAAAATTTTAGAGAAAAAGGGAAGGAGAAACTCAATTAAGGAGGAAGAAACATGAGAAAATATCTAAGGCAAAAGGAATAGAAAAGTTAAGGAAAAAGAAAACAATTTAGAAGCCATTAATAACCAACCTTAAGATTAATCCAAGTGTGACACACTTGTCTTAATCCTAAAGGAATACCATGACTATAAAAGAGGAAAAAGAAGATGGAAGAAGGTTTACAAGGTAGAAGCATTGAAGTTTTTATAAAGGAAAGTGTTATGCGGTGAAACTTTGAAGGACCTATTAATTGATTTTAAGGGACAACTTTTAGCTAAAGAATTCTAGAAAATTTTAGAGAAAAGGGGAAGGAGAAAGTCAGTTAAGGAGGAAGAAACAAGAGAAAATATCTAAGGCAAAAGGAGGAAGAAAAGATAAGGAAAAAGAAAAAAAATTAAAAGTCATTAATAACCAACCTTAAGATTAATCCAAGTGCGACACACTTGGCTTAATCCTAAAGGACTACCATGGCTATAAAAGAGGAAGAAGAAGATGGAAGAAGGATTACAAGGTAGAAGCATTGAAGTAGCTATAAAGGAAAATGTAAAGTGGTGAAACTTTGAGGGACCTATTAATTGATTTTAAGGGATAACTTTTAGCTAGAGAATTCTGGAAAATTTTGGAGAAAAGGGGAAGGAGAAATTCGGTTAAGGAGGAAGAAACAAGAGAAAATATCTAAGGCAAAAAGAAGAAAAGATAAGGAAAAAAAAATTAGAAGCCATTAATAACTAACCTTAAGATTAATCCAAGTGTGACACACATGGCTTAATCCTAAAGTAATACCATGGTTATAAAAAAGGAAGAAGAAGATGGAAGAAGGTTTACAAGGTAGAAGCATTGAAGTAGTTATAAAGGAGCAATTACACCAACCAAGAAGAAAACCACCCAACTACCACTCCAAACCACCTTAGATACCTTAGAAACACCTTAAAATCACCTTAGAATTGGCTTAGGAGATATATATATATAAAAAAAAAAAAAGAGAAAAAGCACTATTTGGGCCGAAACTTTTGGGAAGGAAAAGAGGAAGAAAGCCGATGAGGAAGAAATGAGGATTAGACAACCTTTAAGTGAGGTAAGTGTAATCCTCACTACACCATAAGAAAATAGTATTTTTGATATGTAATTGATGTTAAACTAGAGTTTAATTGCTTATGAATTAATGATATTGCCATGTTGTTGTGGAATTGGATGATTTTGACGATGTCTATGCATTGTTCGTTTTGAAATTATAATGAATAGATGATTAATTGGATTAAAGGAGAGTGTTTTGAGGTTTTCCTTGTTCTTAGAATAATGTGGTTGATTATCTTTAAGACATGAATAAATAAGTGGCTTTAAGACCTATTGTTTACAAAGTGTTTGGTGATATACTTAAAAGTTCTCAATGGTATTGAATTGAAAAACTTGAAACTTAGCCACTTTGTTAGAGAATTTTGGCCAAAAGTGAAGTTTGATTGCTTGATTTAGTTAATTTTTTTTATTTTAAAATGATGAAAAACATATTAGGTTAAGAGGTTCGAGGTGAAAACTTGAGGAAAAATGAAGAAATGAAAGTTGTCCTTCCATTGGCCAAGTTTTGATCAAGAATGAAAGACAAAGCATAGAGAGGTTAATTTAAGGCTAATGTTAATTTAGAGGTATAAAATGACATGAAAAATGATTCTAATCATATGAAAAATGGATGGATTATATTGCTAAAATATTTTACCACAATACGTGTTTAAGACATCAATTGTCTTTATTGATTGTTCATGTTGCATGCATATTTATTTTACATGGAACATGTATTTATGTATTCTTTATGCTATGTGTTCTAGAAGATTTGAAAGTATGCATGTTGAGGTCTATATTGTTACATTGCATTTTTAATTAAATGTATTTGCATGTCATAAATCATAAAAAAAAATATTTTACATTCATGATTTTCATAAAAGGAAAAGAAAAAGGAAAGGTAAAGGAATGCATTTACATATCATAACCATGAAAAGGATTTTTTTTCATCATTTTTATGTAAAGAAAAAAGGAAAAAGACATGTTTTAAAAAAGGAATGGATAGGCACCTTCTTAAGGTTATGAGAGAGGAAAGATCACCCTCTTTTGAGGAAAAGGGCATGCTAAGGGAATGATCTAGTGTATACTCTTATCATGTAAAGAAAAATGAGGACATGCCAAGGGAACAATCTGGTATATGCTCTTGGAATATAAAGGAAAATGAGGACACGCTAAGAGAATGATATGATCTATACTCTTAGCGTGTAAAGGAAAATGTTATGGGAAGGTACCTAGTATGAACTTTTCATAATTGCATGTTTCAAAAGATGGTCGATTATATACACAATCGATAGGGTGCATCCAAAGAGAAAAATGAATTTCAAAAGGCATGAAAATGATTTTTAAATGCATCACGTATATTACATGCATAAAAAGACACTACATGTAATTACATGGATTACGGTTATTAGACATTGCTCACCTTTGTTTCTTATGGTGTAGGAGAAAAGAAAGATGATTAAGGACCGTCGCCAAGAAAAGATGACGACTTGCCTTTTTATGTGCTTAATGTGTTATAGTATGAGGAACTTTACGTTTGCTTAACTTAATTTTTGGTTATGAATATTTGGTGTTAGGTTAAGCAAAGGGTGGTATGTATTAATGCATGATATGGTTAAAAGTTGAAGTTTGATATTGTGGTTATATAACTTGTTAAACTAAATGGTTACTTGGCTAATCAATATGGATCAAATGCGATAATTGATTATAGAAAGGAATTAACTAAAGGTAGAATGAATGTAATAGCTAAATGATACTTAGTTTAGTAACTAAAAGTTAATGATAAAAAAAATGTGACCTTGAAATGTTATGGTTAAATGAGTTAATAAGGTAAGGTATAAAGTGAAGTTAATGATCAATAAATAAATGTCTTTAATGGGTTAGTTTTAAATAAATTAGGAACCAAAGTTCCTTAAGCACAAAAAATGTTTTAAATAGCTAAGGTATTAGTTAAAGGTATAAATGAATTTATTAAATGCTTTGTCGAATTTTTGAAATAATTTCCTAGCCTATGGAATTTTTATAAAAATAATGACATTAAATCTTAGTTTAATGGTTACTATTCATAGATTATTTTCTAATTGAATGTAATATATGATAATTAAATTATTTTGAAATAAAATCAATATCAAACAATCCTACTATATTGTATGGAATATGTGAAAATGAAATAATCCTAAACTAATTTTTATATGAATTGCTAAAAGAAATTTAAGAAAAATAAAAAATGTAACCCTCGTAAAATTCATAATTGTATAAGTGTACATATTGAGATATTTATATTCATACGTATATATATAATATATCGATTACATACGTGAAAATCCGTAACTAGATCAACATATGTACTTGGAATATGTGGTATGTACGTTTTTGTTGAGAGTAACGGGTGTACATCAATATAAAAAAAAATGTTGGGTAAATTAGTTAGAAAATTTCTTTTATATGGAATAAGTATAAATTAGAAAAAAAAAAAAGAAAGTGCTAATTGCCGAAATTTCGGTAGGAATTCGAAAAATGTAGTTAATTTAATTATCCTAATTTAATCACATTTTGGCCCCTACTTTCTACAAATTTCCATTGACCATCACCTCTTCTTTCTTGAAATTTAAACCCATAATTTCATTAATTTCAGCCACATTTACCTTGCATTTCACCATAAGCTCTTAACACTTGTAATGAACATTAAATGGATCAGATTAGGTGAGATATTTAAGTAAAAAAAAAGGGATAAGGATGCATTTTTGGTGAATCCCGTAGCTGCCTTAAAGCCAAGAAAGAAAGAGTGAAAGAGAGGGGAGAAAGAGAAAAAAAGGGAAGGAAGAGAAGGGGAAAAGAAAGGAAAAAGAAAGGGAAACTAAAAGGAAGCAAAAGAGATTTTAGGAAAGTTAATCCAATGTAAGTAGGTTTCATTTATTTTTCTTGCTTTGTTTATGCTTTCCATGTTTATTTTATGAGTTATTTAATTCATGTGAAATGTGATTATGGTATTTGTGATGATTTTAAACACTTGATGTTTGATGATGGATGGTTAAGCATGTGTGATGAGAAATGTGCTTTAAGAAAAGATTTTCGGATTTTAGGGGTGGAAAAACCCAAACTTGGTGTGATTTATTTCGGAATCTTAGAGTGATTTTTAGGAAATATACAAAAAATGAAAGTTGTTGATATATGTGTCTACTATGTCTCTTTAAAAGTTCGTGACGTTTAGAGATATATATATGGAGTTATGACTGAATTGGTATGGATCGTTCGA